ATTTTCATCAAACCAGTCCTGGTGTATTCTTTCGATCTGGCCGAGGGTCTCTCCACAGGTTTTTGTCATGAAAGTGTTGAGAATATCCCATTCGGCACTGGGATTTGGGTTGTTTATCAGCCCATGTTCGAGCTGCTCTCTGAAAGTATGTGCTACCGCTATATCCTTCAGACGCTTAGTGTTAAAACCTCTTCTGGAGGCTCGCTGCCTTCGCCGTTTTGGGCGACGTGAAGTGAGAGCTTGGCTCTGACGAGCCGATGATCAGTGTCGCAGTGGTCTGAGCCACGCATGGCAAGGGTGATGAGGAGATCTCGGCAATCTCTTTCTCTGACAATGATGTAGTCAATGAGATGCCAGTGTTTGGATCGTGGGTGTTGCCACGAACCCTTGAACTTGTTGGCCTGCCTACTGTAAACAAGGTATTGGTGATAGTGAGGTTGTGTGCAGCACACCTGCTGGGGTGGAGTAGGCCATTGGGATTACACTTGCCTAGTCCAATTCTCCCTATGGTTCCCTGCCAAATGTCAGCATCTCTGCCAACTCAGCATTGAAGTCACCAAGGAGCACAATCTTATCTTCTCTGGGGATAGAGGTTAGCACTCTGTCGAGGTTGGCGTAAAAGGCCTCCTTGATGTCATCCTCTGTATCCAGTGTTGGGGTTTATGCACTGATGAAAAAGGCATGACATGAGTGATTCGGTGGGACTTGAAGCATCATGAGGCGCTCGTTGATCCCAATAGGCATTTCAGTTAGACTGTGTAGGGTGCGTTGGCGGATGGCATAGCCAACTCCATAAATGCGGTTTCTCTCCGTAGCAGACTTACCCTTCCAGAAAAAGGTATAGCCAGACCCCCGATCTGTGAGTTGAACCTCGTCTGGGAACCGGGACTCAATGATGGCTGTTATGCTGATGTTATACCTAGCTACAAGGGCAGTTCTTCTTTTAGGATGCTCATTTGTGCCAGTATCCAGAAAGTTTCAACATTCCATGCAGCGACCATAAGAGGTTGTATGGTTTGTTTTTGTTTGGATCTGTGATTTTGATTGTGTTTTCAACGGCCAAAGGGTGACCAGTCAATGTTGGTTCTTTAGTCAGGCTATGTTTAGCTGAAGTTGACGGTTTAGGCCAGGGGTGTCAAATTCATGGCCCACAGGCCAAATGTGGCCCTTGGGATGGTCAGGTGTGACCCGCGGGATGACGGTAAAATTTATCAGCCCGTGAAATTATGATAGAAATAAATGTGAAGGAAAAAATGCAGATATGAATGAGTCAGTAAATTCCGAAATGATCTTTACATCATTGTGGCAATAATTGAATTTATATTGTGAATACTAGTACAGTGAAACCTCTAAAATTTGAGCCTCAAAAATTCGGAGACATCTAAAATTCTATTAGAATCTGATTAAAAATAAGTGCCAAAATTTTAGGTTTCGAATATGAAAATATCGCCATAATAATTCAAGCTTTCAAATGCGATCATAATGCTGAGCACAACAAGCGCATCCGGGTTCCAAGACATGCTAGGTCACGCATTGTTTACCCTTCTGTGTCTCGTGGTGGTCGTCTCACAAGTGCTCCACGGTTAACTTTATTAATATTCAACTTTCACCCTTATAATGGCATCAAATAAGTGTTCACTTGATAGTTTAGCATGCAGTGTGGAAAAGAAGAAAAAGTATGTTTCACGGGACCAATAAACAGTTCAAGCTCAGAAATTTAAGGTAAATATACAATCCTTACAGTATTTTTTAATACCTTGTATTCATGTTTCCCCTTTGTCAAATTATAATTTGATTTATAATTTATTTCAGCTTAACTATATAATTTCTAAAACACGTTCTAAAAGTTTACAGATACATGGCAACTCAACATCATCTTTAGAGTTGCATATGTAGCAGAGGGTGAGTAGCCTACTCGTCAGACCAACCCCACTATAGTGACAATGATTATACTGAATGGTAATTATTTACAACCAGGTCAATATTTGGAAGTATTATTGAAGATGTGTATTAAGCAATATTGTACAGTAGTAAAACAAAATATTTTATCACTGCAGGCAGTGTGGAAAAAGGCGGGATAAAGAGGAGGGGAGGAGAGTAGTCACACGACAGATGCCAACCTACCGATGTTTATTCCATTAATAATTCTATGATTTCTTGTTGTCTCTTATATTTAACAGACTTTTATTTTTTTTTACATACGAATACGATAATAATTCCAATTTAAAAGTACTGTACAATATTTTGTATAGAAACTATTTACATAGTATTCACCTAAAGGCTTTTAGTCACGTAGTATTTAGTTTCATATTAGAATAAATGTTGTTGAATATACATACAGTAATACTTTTAATTTTTTATACCTATTGCTTATTGACAGTTTTTAGATATGCAAATAATTTTTGTAGCATGTTTTGATACAACAATTTGCTCTGGCGCTTCCATACATCTAAAATTCGAATTTTTCTAAAATTTGTATACTTCATGGGCCCATGCAATTTGAATTTTTGAGGTTGACTGTAATAACATTATTATAAAGGGAAAATGCTTATAAATCAAAATCGCTAAAGAAATAAAAATGAAGCCTCAGCCATTACTGGCATCTGAACAAAGGCAGCAGCCAAACGTTGAAATACTAGGCTAAACAGAAGAGGAGAACTGGTGTACGTTGTTGGACCTTCTCCACTTCTTTGGAGAAATCGTGAGTTATACTTCGCTTTTTAATCACTCAGTTATCTAAAGCTATGACTAACTATATGAAGAATTGATGTGCAGTCAACCCTTTGAAATGAAAAGAATATACAGTGGTCCCTCGGTTAACGAATGCTTCGGTTAACGAATTACCTTCCATAAGAATCTTCAATTCGGTTAACGAAAAAAAATTGATTAACGAAATCCTTACGAAAATCACCTTTTGTTTTTAACATCAGCTGATAAGCTGAGGAGGTACTCAGCCAATTCAGTAATCTCTTCTATGTTTACATTCGTTTCCAATGGAGTAAATATCAAGAAAATTGTGCACTTTAATATTTGTGCAGTTTTTTGTACAGTATTAAAATTATTGGTCATTCTAAAATTTAGCCATGCAAGCTCTGTCTACATAAAGTTTTTCAACTATTATTTTTGGCTCAATATATGTAACTTAATTCATTTATTGAAACTCATTTACATGCACACACTGTCCTAAGGGCAAAGCTGAACTGTACATGTAATCAAAATAATGTACAAAATGATTACTAAAATTTTTGTCTAGTGCAAACTATGGCATGTTTACATTCAAATTAATCACTATCTTATAAGAATTCCAGCAATGTAAATTATATTCTCCGGGTCACTTCTATGCAATTTTATGAGCAAAAAACAAAAAATCAACTAAACGACAAAAGAAAATTGTCATCTATTACATTACCGTAGCAGATGTATAATAACGGAGATAGCATATCCAAAATGTTCTCTATTTTCTTCCAATAATCTTCCGCCCTTATCACCTACCTCACTTCCCACACTGCATGTCTCCTGCGTCTCCTTCATAAATCATCACGCGCATGCATTCCCGTACACGTCACGCGGCCAATCAAAAGTGTTTTTTTTTTTTGCAGCCAATTAAAACGATTTTTGGTTTAATTCGCGATATTTTGGGCCCAATCAAAATCGATTTTTATTTTGGGTCTCTCATATTTCCAAATTCAAATTAATTTCCGACCATGGAAGTCTGTGATGGATGTCACTTAAATTATATGGAGCCGATTGCGAGTTTTGGAAAAAAAAAACGAAGAAACTGTAGCATTTTTTCGATCGCATGGTGTTCTCCCGACCTCAGTAAAGTGTCATAAGTGCAAGACTGAATGTAAATGTCGCAAAAACCAACATATGTGGCGTTGTCCTAACTCGTCCCTTATCCCAAAGAGACGGCAATAAGGTAAGAAATAGGTGATCCCATCATATGGTGAGAGTCAGTTAGGTTAGGTTATGTTAGGTTTGGTTTTTGTTTTTCTAGTGTTTTTTGGTCTATTTTTTATTCGCTTAGCCATTATTTTTTTCGGAAAAAATCCCCCCCAAAAAAATCTATAAAAAAAGGCCAATTTCCGAAGGAAATGAAGGTCATACTCGGTCTAAACACACACAAATACACTAGAAAAATATATTTTTGACTTTCAAACAGTGTGGTGCGCTTATGCAAATTTACCAAATTAACACGATAATGCAAAGAACCTGACCTAACATATCCAACCTAAGGTCAGGTTCTATGCAGTGTCGTTTCCATTTTTGTGTTTAATATCATATTAGTGTATAGTACAAATTTCAACCAATTCGGACAATTCCTTGTGGTGGTAGAAGTTATCTACACCTTTACCAAATATATTATAAGACCAATAGGTTACATTTGGTTATTTTGTTTTGCCTGGCATCGTTAATAGTACATCCAGAAACTATATTCTTGCCAAATTAATCCTTTTACTTTCAAATACCAACATTAAACGAAGACACATACTGTACTTAAAAAAGCCTACTAGTTCAGGTCTATTGTCTCTGAAACTGACCTTCGAAATAAAATATACATGCTAAGGATTTCTTGACACATTACCCAGCAAAATTTCCTTTCTGTCACCAAACAAATTAAAATACAATACTGTATACATACACTCCTGGTCCATTATTACAATTCCTAATTTCATTCCCTTGAATCACAAACTCCTAAATTAATTTCGTTTGTATGGAAATGACCAGTTCAGTACCGTAATGTATCTTCTAACATCAGGAAGGATCGATTTTTGCCACCCCCACAGTAGTGGTATACAAGGGCCGCCAGCAGCCTCCCCAAACACATGATGCTCTTGTAAGCTTTCAACATTACCAACCAATAACTTCATCCCAAGGCAGGCCTAGGAGTTCATCCCTTTAAGTTTCACTCATATAATCATCAATAACGTCAAAATTGGTAATTAATCCCTTTCAAAATATACTCCAGGGCATGCTCTTGCCTCTCCTGAAAGACCGACCTGTCAGAGCTGGCGGAACTAGGAGGATCTTGCTTGAATCTACCAGACATCACCTCTTGTGAGTTCTCCCCAGCTGCACTTGCGTCCATATATTGTTGCTACACGTTTCCCATCAATATTATTTGTCTTTATTCCTCAATTATATAAAATTAACATATTAGATATTTTAATAAAATCTAATATATAATGTATTTTCCTAGCTATATAAATTATAAAGTACCAAATTATTACAAATATATTTCAAAGTCAACATATATTAAACCTGGTACGTGGAGTTTGCTGTCGTCCACTGCGTTACCATGACGACTGCTGTAAACAATATCAGCTGACCGTAAGCTAACCAACACTTGATCTGGTTAGCTTTCTTGATTTCTGATTATACAAAAGTACCGCTATAAAGATATATTTTCAAAATTATTGATATCTGTTGATACTGTACTTCCAATCAACTATAATAACAGAGATCATTTCAACCACATTACAAGTGAATTATATTTGGCTAAGTGTGGTTCCCTCAAGAGTTACAATTCAACCAAAATTTTTTTTTTCTTTAGATCATTTTCAGGAAACGTGAATATTTTCATAAGGACTGCAGGAATGGTAAATAGTAAGTAATTTCTGTACGTACTAATAATTTACCAAACAAATTAATACAATAATAATAATAATAATAATAATAATAATAATAATAATAATAATAATAATAAAAATTAATTAATAATAATAATATCCATAGCATTATTATTATTATTATTATTAATTACTGTTACGACGAGTTTTAATGATTTGGATAATTATTTGGATAGTAGATGTTCCATCGCGGCATCTCTGATAATGCTCTCAAGTACTTTACATATTATGCTGGCCAGGCTCACCGGTCTCTAAAGTGGGGCAGCTAAATGCAATGTTTCAAGAGAATCATGCAAATGGTGATACAAGCACCAAATTTGGCATGGTAATTCTCTAATGGTTACTAGTCAAGTGTGCCTGATTGGCCATTTGAAAATTCAAGAGGGCGGCCATTTTTAAAGATGGCCGCCATAGTGACCTTCAAAAGTTGATTTTTCTCATAGAAATTGATGTAGTTGGTCAATCCGAGTGATCTGGGTGTAGATATGTATGTTTTCAAGCATGCTCAGGTGATTTTTTTGTAGCTTTAAGTCCATTGTAACATTTTTGTCCACATAAAATAACACTTTTAGTAAAAAAAAATATAACAAAAAGAACTTACTAAAAAAAAAAGTACTCACTATTAGCACTGGTTCCTGTGACTTCTCCTGACAGTACATCTTTGTGCATTTACTGCTGTTCACATATGCAACTGCAAAGAGCTGTGCAGGAAAGTCCAGAGCAAAACCATTTGCATCTCTGGTTGCAGTCTTTCTTACAGGAACATTTAATTTTTATTTGGTCAGCTCCTGACAGCATGTCGCAATCGGGGGAAGAGTCGTCCAACGTATCTGCCATGCCTCTCCCTTCTGCATCCATCCCCAGTTGACAGGCCTGCTGGTTTCTGGATTGGAGATTATTGCCTGGCCCCAGATGATACCATCCTGGTAGGCAGCCCGCTTTGCATCTTCCTTGAGGGCTGCCTGGGTTGGTGGAATGGAGTCATATGGTCTCTGCTTGCGGGTAAAGAGATTTAGTCTTGCCTCATCTACACTAGTGGCTGCACTAGATCTGTCGTACATGAGGACAACAAATCTTTCCAGCTTCTGCAGGTCAACATCAGCAACTGTTGTTGGACATTGGCTGAGTTTGGTGATTGTTTCAGAAACTTCATCACAGACATTCCATGTCTGCCATGCAGATTTCTTTCCTTTCCCACGGAAGCCAGACAAAACGTCACAGCCAGTGAAAGCAAGAAATTATAGGATCCCACTAGCTTTCTTATGCCCGATCGCAGAAACTACATCATGAACTGGAATCCATCGATGACTGGCTCCTTGGCCAAAGGCAATCCACATGTTATCAAGACCAAGCTCCTGTAGTGATGGCAGTACAGATACTGCTATGACGACCACGTCAGTGTCATTGGCTTTGATAATGAGGGACTTGCTACCTTCCATTGCTGCATCCCTAGCATGCACAAATATTCGTGTGTCTGCTTCTTCATGACAGCATGGAGCCACAGCTTCTTGGAACTTCTCTGTGTTGCTAATGGCATCTTCTCCCTTTGTCACAACCACCGTGCTTGTCGTCTGTGCTTCACACATTTTCTCCGCGAGAAAATGGAATAGTTCTGTCTTGTTTTTGTCATCTCGCAGAAAGCTTCTCCAGTTTTTGGGAGTCTTACTGGTTCCTGTAACTCTTCTCCTGATCCCCTGTCCTCGTTTTCACTTGGCTTCAGACTTCAGACTTGACTTTTTGTATACATCAAACACTACATCCACCCTATTGTATTTGGCACCATAGAATTCCACTTTGGGCAGGATGTCTTCTCTGGCATAGGCATCAAAAGTCTTTAAGGTACGTGGAGGCAGGGCATGGATCAGTGCTGAGCCATATATGATGATAGCATCTCTATGTGGTTCTCTCTCTTTAGTATTCACTTGTGCTTGAAGAATTTCAGCCAGCTGTGACTTCTGACATGTATGAAGCTTGCCATTGTCACTGAGGGAGGCAGGAGCTGACTGGTTCTCATGCTTGAAGAATTCTTTCAAGTCATACTGTCTGTTCTGACTGGTGATGAAGAGTCATCTTTCAGTACCTTCTCTTTGGAACTGCTAACAACGTGGTCATGTTTGAAGAAGGAGGATCTGTTTTTCTTGATTGGGTGGTAGAACAGACATTTACCTTCACTTTTTAGTCCCTCTAAGAATGACTGGAAATGCTCTTTTCCTCTGTCATGGTGTGTACCAACCATTTTAGCAATATCTGGATCTACAATGTTCTTTGTGTCTAACACCAGAAGGTCAGATGACTCTTCTTGGAAAGGGTTGCCCATCTCCCGCAGCGCCTTGGAATGTGCTTCCACCTTCTCAAAGAAAGATTTCTGTGCACTCAGGGTCTGCTCATGATGTCGGCTGGTGGTGGTGGTTCCATCTTTTGCACCTGACGCAGCTTCATATGCAGCACCAAGGTGACTCACTTCAGGTCCAGCCACCATCCACCTACGAAGTGCTGCTGGGTCCTCAGTCAACCCAATTGCTCCTCCGTCGCCTTTAATCACTGCATTGTTTTGTTCATAGGCTTGATCAATAGCAATGGCAGAGAATTCTCTTCCGGACTTGTGGACAACAATGTTCCCCTTGTAGAACTCCCTCGCTACCTCTGGATGTTGTTGCTCAAAACACATCATGTCTCGAAGGTGAACTGGAAGCCATCGGGCATAATTAACATTGTTGTTCGCAAAGAAGTAGGGGATCAGCTCTGAGAGTGCTTCAAGGTAGAGTTTGAGATTGCCTTTCCTGAATGAGCGGATCAACATGAAGATGGTGAGCTCCATGTCCAGCACAAGGTTCCAGAATTGGAACTGTGAACTCTCAAGCCTCTGTTGTTTACAACAGTCTTCAAAGCTCAAAGTTGACCTTTCAGACTCATCAGAGCAATAGTCCTGGTATGCCTCCTTCATCAGTTTGTACAAGCTGCATGCTGTGACTTGATACAGACAGAAAAGACTTTGCTGTACCAGATGAAACCACTCCTGCTTCAACAAGAGAACCTGTCCAACCACTGTCTTGTAGTAGCGTTCCTAGTGATCTCAGTGCAGCCATCTCTATGTGAAGTCTCCCGAACATAATAACATACCTGTCTTCTCCATACTCAGGCCAATGCCATTGGATTTGTTTTGCCAGGGCATACAGTGGCTGGTCAGCAGCTATGACTGGGATCTGACCTGGGTTCAGAAGAGCCACTGTATCACGAACCTTATCCTTGACATGCTTGATGGTTGCCACAGAGTGTGCCTGATCTCGAAGCAAGGGAAGCAGAGACGTAATGCTCACTTCAAATGGCTGACTCCTCTTCTGTGCTGCATGGTGAGCTGCCCACGTGATGCAGACTTCATCATCCACATCCTCAGTGAGCAAGACCTCTTCCAGCCAAGCATACTCTTCCTGCAGGTGTGACTGGATTGACTCAGGTGCTGGCAATGACTGAGGTGCTACCAAGGGAGGATTGGGATTCTTCATAATATAAGCTGGTCGGACATTGGTGAATGCCTCTGGAAGCTCAGGAACTTTCTTGACCATCGTATCTGCATTCTATCTGAGTGGCTCACGCTCCTCACCAGCTTGCTCAGGGCTTGGATGTTGGAAGATGGACACACTGGTCCCATGGAAGGACGTTTTGGCCGTAATCGCAGTGGGGTTGTGGTCAATGTTGTCCACTGCTGAAGTCCTGAACAACTGCTTCCTCAAGATTGGTGGACACACCACTATACTACCAGATTCTAGGGTCACTAGTTCTAAGGGGAATAACTTAACTATAGTCTTAATTTTAAAGGTTACTGCCACCAGACCCCCTCTGGACAGTATGTAGCTCGTTAGGTAGCGGTCAGAGTGGAATAGGCATTGATTTAGGTTTTTCATTGACCAAATCTATAAGGGGAAAGAAGGGTGAAACCATAACATGTCTTAACTAATTTATTCCTTATAAAACATACTGTAAAAAAATACAAGTGAGCTGTCCTTCCTCAGAAGAACAAACGATGATGTTGGTTACCCTGCTCGACACCAGACGTCTTACATTAATTGCGTGTCATCCACATACTTATTGCATACCCACCAGTGACCTCCTTACCTCGGTCATTCATTCTTACACTACCCCTTAACCCGTCAGACTGCTCCACCTGTATGGAATATAGCACCATAGGTCATCACACATAGTAGCACCATCTCACCTCCCTGTAGCACCATCTCAACAAACCTGTTATACTCCACACCTGCAAATATGAGACTCCTTGTAATTTCTAGGTACACTTATCAGGCACCTCGTTCGCACACCGCCCTCGGTGGGTAGAGATGAGGGCTACACCCAGAGACATACCAATACTATTTCTACGCCTGGTATTATAGGTCGCTCCAAGTGACGACCGCGGAGTTTCTCAAGAATTTCCTTATTTATTCCTACTCCTTTGGGGTGGTAT